GGTGGGTTTTGGAGGGGGGGGGGGGTAGCATATATATATATATGTACACAACTCTGATGTGTATCTATATATATATATATAATCTCAATATACACATATATATATATATACATATATGTATATATATATACACATGTATAGATGGACACACGAGAATAGGCCCCACGTATATGGCTTCGTATATATATATATATAGATACAGGCACGTCTATAGATCTGGATATAGATACTGGTGTAGGTAGATGTAGATAAAAATATAAATAAGAACATAGATATAGATGTAGTCTCAGATACAGATAGAGGTGTGGACATAGATATAGGTAGAGAGATGGACATAAATAGATCTACATAAACGTATGTACAAATACAAATACAGACATACATAGATACATAGATACATAGATACATAGATACATACATACATACATACATACATAAATACATAAATACATAAATACATAAATACATACATACATAAATACATACATACGTACATATGTGCTGTGTGGCTGCATTGTCACAGCTTCCTGCAATGGAAGTCCCAGAACCCCTGGCTCCGTTGTTTCCTTTAGTTAATTAGCAGTTCTGCCTGCATTTTCAAAGTAGACAGACGCACAGAGGCGCTGTCAATTTCTGCGAAGTACATATCCCGGCCCAACAGTTTTAGCGATGATATTTCGAACATGTCCTCGATAGCGCACTCGCCGTCAGTCGGCACTTCCGTGAACATCTGAGGCATGCGTGTAGTTGTTCGGACATAGGCCAAGAAAAAAGTGCGCAAATAAGGCAAATAAGGATCGGATCAAGACTGCTGGAGACCCGGAGAGCTGAAAAATCCTGAGACCCTGGAACTTAATCGTTTCTGCCGCTACGCGCTGCAAGTAGCAGCCTGCCCGGGTCCATACTTCTGTCTGAGCGCAGATATATACGAAAAGGTAGCTTCCAGAGATCCCAAGCATTTCAAAAAACATTAGACGCGATCACACCAAAACTGTACGATTCCATAGCGAAGCCACACGTTTTCCTACAGGCCCACCTCTGCCTTCACGGCACCGAGTTCCTCCCGGATCTGGTCTTCAACAGCCGCCTCTTCTCCAACGTTGATACAGGATTGGGACGAGGTTTGGTGACGGTTCAGGACATGCTCGTCCGCTTGCGCAAACAGTCAGCACAGATTCTAAGAACTGCGACATGTTGACCAACATGAACATTGAACCTAAATAATAGCCCCCTTTTTTCTGACTACAACGCATCTCCGAAAACGACATTACACCACAGTATACTGCACCGGGAATTTGGAATTAACCATTTCTTGCACCCTTATATGACTGACTCCTTCATGTCGGGATCGGGGCCACAGGTGGCTGCAAACACACTCAACCGTTGTGTCGCGTCGGGTCGAGGAAGTTGAGATTCCAGCAACAGCGCTAGCAATAACTTTCTGAAAGCCGTAAGCTTTGCTTCTGAAAGCCTGAACTCAATTGCACTACTTCCCGTGCTAGATGTGTCGGTTGCACCGCGGAGATTAACATGTTGATCAGTGCTCCCAAACGCATGGAACCCTTGAACTCGTTAACCCTAAGCCCCGGAACCACAGGAGAAGCCCTCCATGCGAGGAATCGCGGCCCGAGTTCGCGTTGCAAACAATCGGACCCGAACACAACATCCCGTACAGAACCAGGAAACCTAACCTGCCTCTGATCCCTGAATACTAAACGCTAGACGCTACATCATCAACATTTCATACCAGGCTCTTGGGCTTGTAAGTTTTAGCAATGAGGATACGGCACTTCATCATAAGCCTCAAAGCAAACGGTTGTACAGTAGAGGGTGCAGGGCACAGAGTTTTGGGGTGCTATGCGTTAAGTGTTGATCCTTTGGAGGGAACCTTGCGATCAAGATTAGACTAGCTGGCGGCGTCAACAGGGTTTGCAGATTGTGTGGTTTAGGCTTAACTGTTTATGCATGACAAAGACTAGGGTTAAGGCTGGTCAGGGCCGAAGATCTCTCATGCGGCAAAACCCAGACCCTGCACAACACTGGAGCATGAACCGGCGAAACAGTGGCACAGCACGCGATCTAGTCGGCGTTTCAAGAGCGTCGAAACTCAACCTCAATGTCAGACGAGGTCGATTCCTTCAGAAAAACTGGCAGGTGGTGTGCTTGAGTTAGTTGCGGGGCTAGTATGTCTGCAGAAGGACGGTCTATGTGCTTTTGATATTGCATATGTCTGATACGTCGGCCAACCGCCACCTGCCAGCACCCTGCATCAACGAGAAGCTTTGACAGGAGAAGCTCTGCAAAACGGTCGGTAAAACTAACATCTAAAGCCTCTAACTCTGGGGCTTATAGGGCTTTGGACGCTGAATTCTTTGCCATAAAGCCCTTGACCTGCAAGGTGGGAGGCAGAGCTTCTTTGGGGAATCTACGCAGCAAAATCGATGTGGGAGTGTTTGGGCTTTCGAGTTTTGGGCTCAGAGGAGTGGAGGGCAACTCATCAGCCCGGACTGCGACTGCCTGTGTGATTCAACGAATCCTTACCTAGCAGATATCCATCTCAGCCCTCAGTCTCTCTGGTGACGTTCACAAAAGACTTCCGGCCACGCAGTAGCTTTGCAACTCGTGACGAACAAATGCTGATGCGAACGTCTCACTGCAAGTGCGGCTTCTAAACTTGGCACAGACCGCACTCCCGCAAGCAAGAACTAAGCCCCCCCCTCGCTTGCAAATACACGAACACTTGGACCTCAGACCACCTGTCCATGAGACCCGAATCTAGTCATTTCTCAGCCTGCAAACACCAAAACCTGCAAAGCCCTGGTGCTTGAATTGCAAAGCTCCGCACCCTACTACTGTATCCTCGCCGCCGCAATACCTGACCCTGAAAGGAAAATTCGGCATAGGCTCGCTCTGCGACGGCAGCTCATTGAAGTGTGCACTGGCTTCGGTCGACGCAGCACTTGCTACCTGCAGTGCAGGGCCTTGGGTTAAAAGGTTTATAGAGTTTAGAGATCTGGTTTCAGGGTGTGCATGCAGTTCTATCAACATCCTAGACTAGAAACGCCACATTTTCGGAGCTGGTAGCGTGTGGACTCGAAATTGAGCTGGCTGGTACTGCACGACTTGCAGCAACAACTCGCTTGCTGCCGGTGATCTCGATCTACGAAACAGACAGACAGACAGGCCGTTGGACGGACGGACGGACACCGAGACTAAGAGAGGCATGATAGTGTTTGATAGCCGTGAATCCTTTAAACTTTACCCCGAACCGTACCCAAAATATCTTTCATCTATGTGTGTCTCGCAGGACTTCTCCAGGGGGCGTTCTGGCGCTTCGCGGCTGTGCGCAGAGAAAAAGGTACTCTGAGACGGTGCGCCCAGGTAGTCTGAGGGTGACCTGGGGTTCTGTAGGATTTTGGGGCTCTGAGGTCTGCGTTACTGCTTCTGTGGTGAAGCTCTTGCATGTGCAGGGCAGGCTTCGCGCAGGACCCAACTACAAGCGGGCCAAAGGACAAACTCCCGCATACGACAAATTAAGCCCTGCACAACAACCCCAACCCCAAACCTGAACCTCAAATTCTTAAACCATGGTATATGTGAAGTCCATAATGGGTCCCACAAGCCTAAAACAAGGACCGCTGCGACTTCCATTTCGTTTCGTACTGCTTAATAGTAAAGAATCAGTCCTACTCCCAGTAGAGCGCTTGAGGCACCAGAAGACCAGTTCGACATAAGGATCCGGCTCCAAGAGACAAGCGTATAGGGTGAGAGCAACGTGGGAATTGAGGGCGCCAAGCCGTGACCTAGACCCTGAACCGACGGCCTAAACCTTGAATCAGCCCAGTCTCTGCGGACGGCTGGGGCTGGGTGCCTCCTCTCGCCCCACGCGCGCCAAGCGCGCACGCGAAGCACAGGTCTCGGTCACCTTGCGGGTTATGTGCTCTTTGCTCTTTGGGCTGCAGGGCTCGGTCTCGGATCTACATAGGCTTTGCGGCTCAAGGCTCAGGGTCTAAAGAGAATGTTAATTGTGCAGGGGCTGCCTTGGACAGTTTTCTCGCGGCGTCCAGGCACAAGCCTCGAACCGCGTGTCCACATGGTGTCGACTGACTGGTTGCTGTTTCACACAGTATGCGCAGGCGTATCTCTGACGCACACACACACACACACCTTCTCTCTCAATCTCTCAATCTCTGAATCTCTCTCTCTCTCTCTCTCTCTATCTCTCTCCATCCCTGTCTCATGCGTGTAAACAAATTAGTCTAAACATATGTATAGGCGCACAAACACACACACACATATATATATATATATACATATTTACTTATATGTCTATACATATGCACACTCATGATACCCATAGTATACAAATAATATATGTGGGTGTGCATACATACATACATACATACATACATACATACGTACATACATACATACATGCATGGATACATACATACATACATACATACATACATACATACATAAACACATAGATACATAGATACATCTATACATACATATATACATATATACA